TCTCTCCGAGGTCTGTGGTTGGAACCAAAACTATTCGAGCACCGCTCGACCCGATTGTCGTATGCTGTGTTTTGTAAAATTTGACCTCGTGCAACGTGCAACGTCGAGGTACCGTCCCCTCCCGCCCGTGCAGTCTCGTATCTTCGCCGCAAAACAAGCACCTCCTCTTCCTGACCGTGACGCCAAATCCTCACGCTCGGGGTTTATCTGTAATCTCTCTGTGGCACGTGGTTTGGGAAACGTCTGGCAGTCTGGACCGGCACATGTACGGCTTAGGGGGTAAACGTAGGCCCTGCTCCTCGGGTCAAACCTCTCCGCCGCTGTTCGTTGCATTAGTGGGTAAACGGCGCAGTGAGTGCTTGGCTTCAGTCGTCGGGGTTGTCTGCGTCTCCCTGGCATGTCAGCTCAGTCCTCTTGAGGTGCTGCTAAATTACGGTTTGGAAGCTGCCGCTTATGCTTCGGTAGTCGTTGCAGCCCTCCTGCGCTTTTTAAGACATTGCACCAGAGCCGTATAACTCACGTTCATGAAAGGTGATAACTGCAGGCATCACGTCAATGTCAGGTGGTTTCTAGATATAGGTCTGTGAGGTTTACTGAACAAGTAGAAGTTTATCTTCAACCTTTTATGGTCTACTTCAATATTTTGGACTACACTGTGGCGTTTTTTTTTTTTCTCACATATTGAAGTAAATATCTCTTGAACTTATTCATACTTTCTGATGTTACAGTGTCAAGCCCCAATGTATTTTATTTGGATTTTATGTGACACACCAACAGAGTTGTTTCATAAAAAAGATAAAATAGACATTTCTATTCCGTCCCCTTCACTCTGACACAGAACAAAATCCAGTGCCAGCAATTAACAAACTGCTGATCTCAATGCCAAACACTTTAAACAGAAAAACAACATTGGACGTCACCCTGAACACAACTTCTCAAATAGAAAATGTTTTAATACCATGATGTAGGGATATTTATCTTCAGCAGGCTGTTACTGGTCGGGAATGGTGGGAGAAAGGAGTTTTAAAAAAATACATTTTGGGGTGTAGTGAAGGTTTGCCTTCAATTGTCAGTCATGCTTTTGGCTATAGGCCATATAGGCAGCTGCCCAGAGCAGCATTAGAAATGGCCTCCTGCAATTTTGATTGTTTAGAGATTGGCTGAAGGTGGGTCTCGACCATTGCACTGTTTATGTAAGAACCACCACTGAGCAGAGATATAAATCAATGGCTCTTATCAAGGCATTTTCATGAGCTAGAGTCGTATTTCTAACCCAGGGAAACAGGAAGTTCCTACACCTCAGATGAACAAAATGAATGAAAACGATAAATTATAAAAAAAAAAAAAAAAAAAAAATATGATGCCAATGTTGTAACACAAGTGATTTGGTACAACAACAAAAAGAAAAAACACAAAGATTTTTTAACACAGTTATTTTTTCCCCAGAACATTTCAATGCATTGAAATTCTTCTTTGTCTATAAGGTTTGAGGACGCTGTATCTCTCTAGAGTTCAACTCTTTTGCTTGCAAAACAGCGGGCATTCAGACCTGCCTCTTAAATTACTGCGCATTTGCGCTGAAACCACAGACCCCCACACCAGACAAGCTTCCTTGCCAGCCAGCCAGAAAGTCGGCCAGCCACCAAACACTGTCTCACTAATACTGTCTGCCTTCCCTTATTTATTTTTCTTAACATCTCTTTCTTTGCATTCCTCGTGTTTCCTTTGAGTGAAGATCTGTAGTCTCCCAAATGCATAAACAAACACGAGCTACAGATATTTATGATGAATCTCAAATAAACAGCTGAAGGAATTCTTTGGTAAATGGCCATAAATCAAGAATTTGGGCTATCTAGCTTTAGTTCCCAAAAGAAATCGCAGACTTCAGGCTAATCTCAGCACATGTGGTGCCAACGAACACACCTCTTTTTCTAAGTGCTTGTAGCAGGATTTAAAGCCTGCTATGTATTCCCAAATTACTTCCAATCCTGTTGCCAATTAACCATTTTGTGTAATGACATGTAATTGTCAAATTAGAAGATGTCAACTTATGTCCATGTGAATGCTGCGCCTCGGAGCAGAGCAAAAGTTTCATTGCGCAAACTTTTCTCTCTCGTGCTGAGAGGAAAACAAGCAAGTGACAACCACAAACGCTGTGGAAGTAACCGTCTCGCAATTACTTGAGGGGAGAAAGAGCCTCCCCCCCCTATAAATTAGCCAATTTCATAGAAAGAGAAACATGATGCTGCTACTGCACACACGTGTCCTGACATACACGTATACTGTGGAGGAATGTTGTGACAGATATAGTGTGGTGTGAAAAACGTACTTGTATGAGTGGAACCTTTTCACATTTTGTCACATCAATCGAAACAAACCTCGGTGTGTTTTGATTGGGACTTTATGTAGAAGAACAGCAAAGGCAGAGCATCGTCTTTAGAAATATGTTTTTTTCATTATTTTTGCAAAGAAAACTCTTAAAGGATGCTCTTGTCTAATTTTGCAACACATACCTATTTAGACTTAGTCCTGGGCTTTGACTGGGCCGTTGTAAGACGTGAGTACACTTTCATCCAAATCAGTTTGTTGTAGCTCTGACTGAGTATTGAGTGTTATTATCCCAGTGGAAGATAGACTTCCATCTCAGCAGCAGGTTTAGAAATCCTCAGATCATGATGCTGCCACCACCATGTTTCAAAGTGGGGACGGTGCGTTGAGTGAGATGTTCAACGTTAGTTTTCTTGTACGCATAGCATTTTGCATATTTGCTGAAGAATTTAATTTTGGCCCAATATGATCTGAGCACCTTCCATCACATGTTTGGTGAGTCAAATTATAAGTGTCAAACTTTAATTTTTGACTTTCACGACTTCCTGTTAGCATTACTTTTTCTTTGTGTCATTTCCAGCAGCACTCAATGAACCTCTTATTCAAGGCCATTACTAGACTGGTTTAATTGTATTTGTTGTGTACCTTCACTAAAACATGTTAGAACGCTCTGTGTTTCTCCTTAATTTTGTCTTTTCCACTTAAATATTCATCACCTGTCTTTTGCAAACTTGTTATACGGTGCTGTAAAAGTACAGCACAGCTGCGTGCTAATTGCCTCAATAAACCTCTATGTAAAAATGTTTGCTATGCAATAAAAATTAACCACATTTACAGAATTTCCTTGCCTAATAAAGTGGTGATTTGGTTGGCATTTATAAGCAGTTAGTCTGAGCCTCAAAATACATTTTGCATTCCAAATCATTAAAAACCTAACTCCTTAGTCCAAATAGGGCTTAACAGCTTGGGGGAAGAGTTGGATTGGGAATGCATCTTGGTTTCGCAGGTTGAATCCAGTTGCACACACTTAACATTGCATGTTTTTTAAGACCAAAAACATGCCAAGTGTCCTCAGGTGGTTTTCCTGTTAACATAGGGCCATGGCTGTAAAAATATTTGGCCAAAGGCAATGTGGCCGTCTTTACCTGAGGTTAATTTGAGTTGACAGGAATGCATACTGTGGATCCCTAAGATCATTAAGATCTAAAGTTGTTCCCGTTGAAAGGTTCAGTTAGAAAAATAAAAATAAAAGCATGCTGCTGCTAACATAAGCTGTATTCTGAATGGAAAGGAGTCTGTGTAAATATATTTGAGTTTGAAACTTAGGGAATTAGAAACATGGCAGTCATGATATAAAGCTCCACAGCCACCACACATTTCACAGTATCTATTTTCCAATGACCCAGATTACATTGCGAACTTTTGAAGTGGATTTTAATAGTAGTTTACCGAACTTTCTTATTTTCTGACCTCTTATGGACCCGGTTATCCAGTTTTTGCATTGTGTTTCCAGGCATGTTATTACTAGTATCCAATGCCACCTTTACACGGAGCTGGTTTTCAGTGAAACCAAAACATTTTTGTTGAGATCCTGCCACTCGTCTACACGTCTCCAGTGATTGGACTCTCTGACACCGGCACTTTTTGAAGCCTACACTGAGTGGGAGTTTTTGGGAACACCCCCGCGGAGGTGTGAAGAACTCCGCAGATGTGAAAGCACACAGCTGCAGAGTTTCTTCTACGTATGCAAGAGCAAACTCAAGTAAAACAATGGCGGATTGCATTGTGTTGTATGTGCTACTTAACCTGTTCAGATTAACATAACATCTGATACGGAATGTGTATGTGTTGCATGAGGATTTGATTAATTGGAGATGGGTTACCGTTTTCTATATGAGGTAGAAGTTAGTGAGGTGGAAACTAAGGTATCAAAAGTACATGCTTGCTTCCATAACATGCTAGAATCACAGCGCCATTTAGTGCCCTGGCATTAACAACAACAGATTCAATGTCTTAGCGCTGCTGTCTAAACATGGAATTTTTCACTAGTCAACATCCGAAAAGTTTCCAGACAGAAGTCTTGTGTAAACATAGCGTAAATGTCCAATTCTGAAGGGCCAGTCAGAATTTTAGTCTTGATCAGAGACAATATTGCGCATAACTTAATTATAGTGATCAGTAGTAGTTGTTTTTGATCATCTGAAAAGTCTGCTCACCCTTCTAAGACCTCATAAAAATTTAATCAACCAGGCCTTTCTAACCATAAAACAATAATTCACTAGATATTTCTTCCGATTCAGATTCTATGAAAAACTGTATGTTTTTAGAACTGGGCTTGTTGCCAGGTGACACCCTGCTACCTAACTATACGGTAATTCACATTAGCTCCTGAGAGCGAGTCATTCTTTCATAAAAGTTTGCAGAAGCAGTCTGATTTTTCACATTGGGGGTATGGATGTGATTGGACACATACATTCAATGACTTGAATGTGTGAGCAAATACTTTTGGCAGAATGGTGTACTTTAGAAATTTGTAATACTTCAAAATAAAAAAATTAAAAATTATGGCTGTTTATCAATGCAAGAGAGTTGAAAAAGGTTCATCGAAGCTGATAGATGAAACCCTTCATACCAGAACGTTGTTTCAACTTGTCTTCCTCTCTCACCTACAGATCTTTGTGTGTATGAGAAGCTTGGGATGCTGGTGATCATGCTGTTGGCTCCTGTCTGCGTGCTGCTGATGCTTGGGGGCCGTGCGTTTGCTGGAGGTTACCCCCCCATCCCTCACGTGAAGTACATGCAGCCCATGATGAAAGGACCTGTTGGACCTCCATTTCGAGAGGGCAAGGGACATTATGTTGGTAAGTAATCCCTCTTTCCACTATCATTTGTTTTCACGTTCTGCAAACTACACGAAGGAACCGACCGCACAGCCATTCTCCAGCCTAATAGGTCTATTCTCTTTCTGTAAATAGACCTAATATTTGAAACTTATGTTCAACATACACAAATATCCCTCCTCTGGAATCTGGCATTGCTCAGTAGGGGCCTATTAAAGGTTCAGTTGCCAAATGTTAGTTGAAGTGAGTGAACGGGGCTAGTTGTTCCTCACACCATCTGGATGCCGTTACTTCAATGTTTTTAATCACATATTTCCCAGGAAAGAAAATAAATTACTTAAAAAAACACTCAGGGGAAGGAGAATAGAGATGGGGCGGGGGAGTGGTGGGGGTAGCCATCACTGTACAACAAATGCATACTATCATCCGCCTTGATGATCAAATTGGACTTAAAGTGTACCTGACCAGTTCTGGATCATGTGAGAGGTGGCGAGTGTAATCAGAGGCCCAGTTTTCAAAGCAAATTTCAAAGCAAATGTAATTACATAAAAGGGTGTTTAAAAAAAGAAAAGATGAGTGAGATGGGGAGACTATTTGATGGTGACGTTTTGCACCTAACTCTCCTGTTGAAACTTCAAAGATCTGTCAGGAGCGTTAACAAGACCACAGGGATTCCTTTTCTTCTGTGAATAGTGAGCTCAGACCTGAGAACTAAACACTGCTCTTTGATGAATGGTTCAAATAGGATGTGTGATTTTACTGCCACTCAGTGGTCAAGAGTCCTCACTACATCCCTATATTGTTGCCTGATTCACAAACATGCAGACTTTCGAAATACAAATAATTGTGCAGAAAGAGATAGACTTTTTTTTAATTAAAGTATATTTAAAAATATAATACTCATTAAATTCTTAAGAAAGCAAACAAACAAAAGAATTGTCTTCTGTATCTTGTAACATAATGAAAGGTAAGAATTAGAAATTAGGTTGGATCTTAAAGTGCCACATTATGCAAATTAATAAAAATTTACCTTTTAAAATTAATCAAATGAATATTGCAAATTAGAATTTCTTTTTAGTTCATCAAGAAAGAAATAGAATGATTGAACAAAACTTTGATTGTCACCATAAACACTGAGTGCACATAGAAAACAATTTCTGGATGGCCCAAACTTTTCTTTAACAGCCTTTTGTAAATTATTATCAGTATGTTTTTGTTTTTTGTTTTTTTTTTGTTGTTTTTTTTGGTATACTTCCTAGTAAAATGTGTTTCTTATTTCAAAAGTACAAATGGCTGCAAGACTTATGCAGTACCAGCAGAGGGGAGTAAAAGCTCTAGGTCATATGTTGAATATCAGATTTAAAGTTCTAGAGATTGTTGTGCTGAAAGGCACTTCAACGATCTAAAGTCAGATTTTCAATTGAAAAGGTCCTTTCTGATATTATAGCTGAAATTCATTAGTATTTTTAATATTCCTATTAAGGCTTCAACTTCATGAATTGTCTCTTTCATGTATCCCAAATATTCCAGAATTTGTTTATAATTAATTTATTCATATTATATTAATGAATCTATATATTGTCAGTTGTTGTATATGTATGAAAAAGAAAACAATAAAAAAGATTGTTTAAAATACTTAATTTAATGTTGATATGGTGACATGGTGTCAGCAGATGTGTGGTATCTAAAACAGTTATTGTAAGAACAATATTAGTATGATAAAAGTACTGTAAAAGAGAGCTGCAAACAGGATTACACTGTGGAATAACTTAAATGGCTTTAATTCTTTGCGAAATAAAAAAGAGGGAAAGCAATGATTACTCTAACTACTTGATTTTTGTTTTCTAGATATGCCACCTATGATGAAAGGGGAACCAGGTCCTCAAGGGAAACCTGGACCAAGAGGCCCTGCTGGGCCACCAGGATTACCAGGAAAGCCTGGACTGGGAAAACCAGGTCTCAATGGACAACCAGGGCCTCAGGGACCTCCAGGCTTTACAGGAATTGGTAAGCCTGGACTCCCAGGTCTCCCAGGAAAGATTGGGCCAAATGGAATGCCAGGAGTTAATGGCGAGGTTGGACCTCGTGGTGAGCCAGGTCCCCGTGGACTTCCTGGGCCTCCTGGTGTCCCAGGCCCTGCTGGTTTATCACTGAATGGAAAACCTGGGCTCCCAGGTATCAGAGGTCCTCCTGGAGCTCGGGGTGAGCCAGGATTAAAAGGTATTTCTGGCCCACCAGGTGAACGTGGACTTAAGGGTGAGAACGGTAATGGGAAACCAGGAATTCCAGGTATCAGGGGGCCACCGGGTCTAAAAGGCAATACAGGACCCCCTGGTTTTCCAGGTATTGGCAAACCAGGACAGAAAGGTTTACCAGGACCACCTGGACTTAAAGGTGATGAAGGACTGCCAGGAAAACTAGGAGAACCAGGACAGCCTGGGCCACCAGGTCTACAAGGTCTTCCTGGGCCAGCTGGGTTGGGGAAGCCTGGTCTAGATGGACTTCCAGGAACACCGGGTCCAGTGGGTCCTAAGGGTGAACAAGGGACCCGAGGAAATCCTGGAATTCCTGGCGCACCTGGCTATGGAAAACCTGGTCTAAATGGGCCAAAGGGGGAAAAGGGTCATGGTGGATTTCCAGGTGTCCCTGGGGACAAGGGAGAACAAGGAATAGTGGGTCCAATTGGGGCGCCAGGTCTTGATGGACAACCTGGACCACAAGGCATTCAAGGTCCAATGGGACTTCCAGGAAAACATGGAATGCCAGGCCTGAAGGGAGAGCTAGGACCCAAGGGACCCCCAGGATTGCCTGGACTCAAAGGTGACCAAGGCCCCAGTGGAATCCCTGGGCGACCTGGTTTCCCAGGAGAAAAGGGCATCTCTGGACCTAATGGTCCTATTGGTAAACCAGGCCCTAAAGGTGAGCCAGGGCAAATTGGCCAACCTGGGAATCCAGGGTTGACAGGTTCTCCAGGGCCTAAAGGTGAGGCAGGCTTTATAGGGACTCCAGGCCCCAGAGGTCAGTCAGGAATTCCTGGTCTCCAAGGGCCTATGGGTCCAATGGGCCCACAGGGTGCCCCTGGACCAAGGGGAGAAGCTGGACTTCCAGGGCCTCCAGGGTTAGGCAAACTGGGTGACAAGGGTTCAATGGGTCCACAAGGTCCACCAGGAAAACCAGGGCCTTCTGGGCTTAATGGTATGCCTGGTCCACCTGGTCCTCCTGGACCTCCTGGCCCTCCAGGAAATGGCCAAACTGTTGCTGCAGGGGTCACCGATGGAGGACTGGGTGGGGAAGAAGTACCTGGGGACAGGAAGGGTCCTGCATACACTCAAGTTCTCTCTGCCTCACTAGCGCCAGCGTTCACTGCTATTCTCACCACACCATTCCCACCTTCCGCCCTGCCAATCAAATTTGATAGGACCCTGTATAATGGACAAAATGCTTACAGCACTTCTACTGGCATCTTCACCGCTCCTTTATCTGGCGTCTACTACTTTGCGTACCACATGCACGTGAAGGGAACTAGCCTGTGGGTGGCTTTGTACAAGAACAATGTGCCAGCCACTTATACCTACGATGAATACAAGAAAGGCTACATGGACCAAGCATCTGGCAGTGCAGTCCTAGAGCTTAAAGAAGGTGACGAGGTATGGGTTCAAATGCCCTCAGATCAAGCAAACGGCCTTTACTCTACCGAGTACATCCACTCCTCCTTTTCAGGATTCCTGCTCTGTCCCACATAACCTTTTCTTCTTCTTCTTCTTCTTATTCTTCTTCTTCTTCTTCTTCTTCTTCTTCTTCTTCTTCTTCTTCTTATTCTTCAAAAAAAAAGTTCTTATATTTGTGACTCAGATCAGCCCTATACCCAAGACACCTGCAGCCATAATAAAAACACACAAAAAAACATAACATGTTAAAAAAATACTACAATCACATTATTTCTCTCACCTCCAACAGTCTCAGTTTGAAAAAATAAATAAATTGTGAATTCTATATGAAATGTTAAAAGGCAGGGGAAGGATTGTTATACTGTGTTCTTTTAATGTCCTTCAAATGTATGTTTTAGGTTATATTTTGTGATGTTTTTTAGCCTATATAATTTTAATTATTATATTGTCATATTTTGTTGTTATTATTTGAACCTTGTCATCAGTATCGCTTTTGTCTGTTTGATTTAGACTTGTAAGTGCCTTACACGTAAAGAGTGAGTAACAGACCTTCCCGTGTGACTGCACATACTGTCAGACAATATGGTCACCAAAACATGGGGCGGGAGGGAGACACGTTTCCCCGGCAGCAGTTGCTTCTGTGTGTGTAATTTAAATAATTATTTGGGGGAAAAAAGAAAAAGAAAAAAAAAACTGCACAAAGAGTAACACTTCAACACAGGATCACGGTTTGTTCTGTGAAAAGAAATCAAGGCATTTGGTCCTCCAACACTTTTATTTTGCCCAACTTCTAAATTTCTAGAGAGAAATTTATACTTTATTACTTGTTGGTATATGAACCTATTGGGTGCTATTTTGTTTCTATGTTTTTTTGTAGTTTGAGACAAATTTGGATGTGAACAGAGTCTGTATTTTACAGTAAGAAATGTATAACAAAAGCATCTGCAAATGGACAGTAAAGACTGTCCACTGTTAGATTTGCTTGGATTATTATTATTATTATTTTTTTTTTTTTTAATTTGCACTGTCTTATTGCACCAGAGATTTCGTTTTCCCCGATACTCAGTCTTTCATACATCTGATTCAAAAGCATATCCTATGAACTAATAATTCTACATCACTTACCAGTTCAAAACACAATGCCAGAAATGTCCCTTTCTTCTTATTTGAGAAAAAAAATATGTGAAAATGGTAAAAGCTTGAGAGTACTTCAGAACTGGAGATGCTGATAAATTTCAAACAAAATGCTTGTGACTATGCCATCTGTGATTTTTGGCACTTCTAGTAAACATATGTACAGAGGCTTAACACTGTAAACTGGAGTTTTTAGAAAGAAAATAGTTCTTTACATCGATCATGCTTATTTGCTAGAAGGGAAAAAAAAGTCACCTGTAAGTAAAGAAATTCCTTAAAAGCTAAAATAAGAAAAAACTTTTTTACCTCTTCAACAATAAATTAATCATATAGAAGCACAGTTGACTAATTAAAAGAAAGGGTACCCAAATTGCCGATTCATTTGAGCTTTGCTGAAAAAATAGAGAACCCAATTGACTATTATCAACAATAAGAATAGGATTTGTGCCGATCGTTTCTTGAAAATACTTCCCCTTACTTAGCCGAGTGTAATAAACTATTTAATGTCATATTTGGCCGTTATTGGATAGATGAAGTTCTATTTGCTATGCAGTTAATAAGGAGGCAAGAATTGTGGCTAATAAAGTACCTAATGTTTTCCATTGTTCCAAGATTGATTCCAAGATTTGAATTTGTCGGAAATAATTTTGCCCAGATTGAAAATAAAAGAAATCTCCATCTGCATCAACCACCTGTCCTGGCTTTGTAAATTTGCGCAACTCTTCCAAGGGCTGCAAAAGGCCCCCGGGCCGCACTTTGGACACCGCTATTTTGGAGCCTTGCGAACCTTGGGGATTCTGTTTCCATTTCCTACGTTATAAGATGAATTAAGCTGTTTCTGTCTCGATTTAACGGCTTCTTCTGTTGTCTTTTAAATTTTTATGACTGCCCCTTTTGTCCCATCAAATCTGCACCACATGTAAACAGGAAGTCGCGGAGTTCTCGAAAAATACGCTTCTACAGAGTCCGATCGACTTAAAATGGCAAACTATGACAACACTGTGCCTGTGCGGTTTGGCATTGGTGAGATTAAAAACAATTATTTATGCATGGGGTTTATGTTAACCCTCTGAACAAAATCCAGTCAAACAGAAGGTTGGATTTTTTCCCAAATTATTTCATCCGTAAGAGTATTTATTATTATGTACGTTTACCAGCCGTGCCGACAACTGTGATGGGTACTGTACGTCCAAAAAAAGTCTGAATAAATAAGGACTTTCTAAGCGAATAAGTAAAGGGACCAGCAGAAGTTCACCAGTTGTGAAATACAGGTTGTGCAACATTTAACAAACCCCTGGTTTATTTCTAGAAGAGGCAGCAGGTCAGAGGTAAGAGCTCTGTGTTTACTCACTACTGTTGGATGAAACAGTGAAGAGCCTCCTGTCAATAAATGTATGGGTGTATGTGTGTGGTTGTTGTCTTTGGCTGTGTCATGTCGTCCCCCTTCAAAAGTCAGGACATGAATATTTCAACGAACGTAATAACAAACTTGAACGAGCTCGCAAAGTCTTTGGAAAAGATATGATTTCGTTAATGTTCCTCAAGAACGCTTGAGAACCGGAACATCAGAATGCTTCGGCTCCCTCTGGGTTTTGGCAGGAATTCCGCAGGACATCACGAGTCTCTGCTGATGAGAGGAGAAAGAGGAATGGCTACTGAAATAGATGATTCATGTGACGTGGAAAACAGCCACGGCTGAAACGAGATCCTGATGATAATGTCGAGGAGTATCCGTGGTTAACACTGAATTTGCTGTTTTCCTACGTTTCGACTCATGCAAAAGGAATCGCGGCTTGCTGTAGCTCTGATCTTGAACCAAGTCAAACAAGAAAAGTAAACAGGTTTTTGAGATGTGCCCATTTCAGTAGCTGGTAGCAAACTTAGACACACAGTGCGCACAGCCTGGGGCAAAATTTGGCATATTTACAGTGCCTTGCAAAAGTATTCACGCCTTGAACTTTTACACATTTGGTACCGTAACCAAAACCTGCAGCGTATTTTACAGTAAGGATTTATGTTCACCGCTCCAGATGGAATACTTTGCAGAACCACCTTTCACAGCGACTATTTCATTCACTCTAGGGGTCCTCTACCAGCGTTTTGCACATCGAGAAATTAAAGCTCGGTGTCCGTGAACATCGACTTTCAAGTGTTGCCGCGGCTCCTACGTCAAAAATAGGTCTAAAAGAAAAGCATCTCCAAAGCGTTATACTGCCCTACTCGGCTTGTTGCAGTCTGTACTAAATCTTCTCATGACTTTCTTTTTCCAAGTACTTTTTTTGTGGACTGCAAGGCCAGTACATGTTCTGTCAAAAAGGATTCTTGCACCTGATCTGTGGCTCTCTCCAGCTCCTCCAGAGTTACCATGGACTTTCCTGGTTGTTCCTTTGACTAATCCTCTCTATGTCTGCGACCTGTCACTTTAGGTGGGCCGTTGTCGCCCTCGCAGCTTTCCCGTGCTCCGTGACGATCTTGCACGTTGAATTCTGCCTTCGCTATATTGGATTTTTGTGGTTCTAGCATGAAACGTGAAAAGGTTCAGGTGATACTTTTGCAGAACACTGAGTTAAAGAGAAAAGCCTAAGTCTGCTCTTTTTATTTCTCTCAAATCCAACGGAATCTGCTCACATTGCCCAAACACGTGTTACACTGAAAGAAAACAGCCTTACAACCTTAGGTAATGGAGGTGATCTTTGTGCCAAACATTGAGATCTGCGATTAAAAGGAATGTATGCTGTTAGATTTTCTTCCCCCATAATTGATCCAGAATGCTGTCACCAAACAGTAACCCTTTAAGTTGCTCTAAACAGCACTGTGAGGATGGTGCCTAATCAGTATTTTATACCAGCATAATGTACTTACCCTTTCCTTCACATAGCATGAGCACACCAACGACTGCTTGTGTATCATTCACCACGGTTCTGTAACACATTCTACGACTTGTTTTGTGCTGTATGCTTTTTCTTTGTGTGTGTGTGTGTGTGTGTGTGTGTGTGTGTGTGTGTTTCGTTCTTTCGAACTCATCTTTTAGTTTTGAACAAAAGAAGCGCTGATGAGAGTCACACGTGCTTATTGCTCTTTTTCCTTAAGTTTTTTACAGACAATGTCACTTGCTTGCTGAGTTTGCATTGTGTGCAAATCATTTAACAAGTGTCAGTGAGATCCTAAAATGCAAATTATATATTTGAACTGTTTCCTTTTTGTCTATATTAAACAAAAAAAAAGAAAAAGAAAAAAAAAAAACAACAATCGAAAAAGAAAAAAAGAATCCCAACGGTTTTGCTTCGGTTCTTTTAAGGGATATTTGTTTGTTTTTATCTTCAGTAAACACAAACGGCCGTTCCCATTTGCACATGAAATTAATGGAGATGTATTTATACATTACTGATAATTTAATAGAGATGCCAAAACTGACCACCGAAGCCTAGAACATACAAATGGTATTTAATAGCATTGACTAGTTAATAGCCTTTGTAACATGTAGTTAGCATTCTAGAGTTGTTTATGAAGGATTATTTGTGAACGTTTATTTTCTTACGTGTCATGTACAATGTAGTAGTGTGTATGGTTTTTTTTTTGTTTTGTTTTTTTTGTTATACATGACTATTGCTTGCACTCTCTGCAATAGAATATGGGTATAAAATGCACTCCTTTTGATTGAAAATGTTTGTCTGCTTATACAAAATCTACAGTACTTGATTGTATTGATAACACATCAATAAAAATAGAGAATAAAAAAACTTTTTGTACTCTTGTCTCATGCCTTGCAATACGCATCTTTGTGTGTAATCATTTTATATAATATATAAGAGTATTTTAGGTTTTAATTTAAATTATGGAAATAAGTTAACTTTTTAGTGATATTCTAATACACTGAGATTAACTTGTGTGACTGAACAACACTTGTTACGGAGCAGTTTTAAAGAATAGTATTTATTTTGTATGTAATGATTGCTGCACAGTTGGTTGTGGGAAGCTGTTGCAAGTAAGTAAATTGTCGCTAGAGGGAGCCACAGAACCCTGGCAAAGCTACAGCCAGACTCATCTGAGGGATTACTGAAGGTCCCAGGCGGATGTGCCGATAAACCTTTGAGCCAGTTAAGATCCATAAATGTACAGTAGATCCAAAAATAAGCACGTTACCGAGAGTACCTTGCTGTTAGATTATAAAAGTATCGAATAAATACAAGATCTGACATAGCATTGTAAATATGGAGAGATTAAAGAGATTTGAATATGATTTAAGAATTAACTAACGAGATTTTTTTTTCGTAATCTCAAATTTCATAGATGTGTAGACGATGGAGAATTAGATAATCTTAAATAAGCACGCTTGTATTTGTTTGGAATTTGATTCTACGGACACGTGACAAGTATATCTATATATAAAACAAATAACCCACGAGCATAGGGATGATTTGTTGTTCTAACTTTCTGGAACTGTCGTCACCATGGTGAGCTGTCATTATTCACCCGGATTCCTCTTACGTCTTACTGACGCCACTCTCCGTGTTGCGTTTGGATGATTCTGGTAAACTAAAATAACAATCGGTTTTTATCTTTTTTATTTCAGTAGTGGGGAGATATAAAGCATTTTTCAAAATTTGTATTCGGTTAGTTACCCAATTTGATACAGATTCAAATTTAAAACCGTCATATCAATTTCAAAGATACATATAAAATATTAAAGTTAATTCAAGAAAAAAGTTTCATCATAAAGAACAGATTTAGAGAAAAGAAAAGCTGAATTTTCAGTAAATTGCAGTGTTTAACAGACTGTTATATTTTATATTAGATTATAATATTTTTTTCCCCCACATAAATGCAATGGTAAATATTAGAACTGGCTCTTAATTTGGGTGTGTAAAAATACAGTGTGCCCTTAATAAGTGATTGTTTGACATTTCATGTTTTACAACATTACAAAATTAAGAAGATTTTTTTTTCCATTTGACTACGTTTTTATGGTAAATGGCAAATTTTACTACTTTTTAAATAGTTGCATTATTCTATGCCTGGTTTTTCTGTTATCATTCATTTAAAATGTGTTACTTTGTCTAAAGGAAGCTATACATTCTACATTTTTCTCCATTATTTTTCTCCATTATTTTTCTCAATTTTTTGTGTTTACAACAGATTTGAATTTGAAGGATTTGAAGTAGCTGTCAAAACAAAGTCCAATAAAAAGCATTTAATGGTTTCCCATAATTAATGCAATTCGTATGTGCCCAGTAGGAACGTGTCTATGGCTCTGAAATAGTTTTGTTGTAATCAGAGGTGTCAAACTCTAGCCCTCAAGGGCCACTGTCCTGCAGTTTTTCGATTTGCCACAGGTACAAAACATTGGAATGAAATGGCTTAATTACCTCCTTCTTGTGTAGATAAATTCTCCAGAGCCTTGCTAATGACCCAGTTATTCTATTCAGATGTGGTGCAGCAGAGGCCCATCTAAAAGTTGCAGGGCAGGACTGGAGTTTGAAATCTAGTTCTTATCATTCGTAATACAATTTCCGACGGTCCGCAAAGGCATCGGGAGGCTCCTCCCATCCATCATAGCCCGACTTCCAACGAGAATCCAGGGTGCTACATTGAAGAGGAACAAAAAGGCGACCTGACAGCGGTGTTTTCACTCCCTCCACTTTCTCCGGGGTAGTTACGGGATTTCAATGTTCAGCCTGATCCTTGTAAGTATTCATTGGGCAAATTACGAACATTGGCTTTCCATTTTTTTGTATGACTAATTAGAAGTGGGATATTACATGATAAGAAGGTTTCTATGATACATGGCAGCCGCAGTAAGTTGCATGAGGGCTTGCCTGATAAGGCGAACCACTACGTTAGCCTAGCTTCATAGCTTAGACAGCCACGACTCTCGCCGCTTTTACACAGTAAGATGTATTATGAGACAAGGAAATGTTACCAGTTTGTTTATTATCTCAGTGTTATGGAGTACACATCTGGGAAAAGTCAAAGTTATTGAGACTTTCTTAGATTGAACGTTGCTAGTGGTGACGGCAAAATGCGGAGTTCAGCTAACCTGCTAGCTAATGTAGCGGTATTAGCGTGCTATTGTGACCACTGCCATTTCCTAGAGGAAAACGGAACATTTCGAACGGGTTTTATTGAAATGTCGACAAGAAAGTTCACCGTGAACGTTTCAAAGATGTTTTTTGCCAAAGCTAAATATTGCCCGTTGTGTCACATTGGCGGTTAATGATACCTTTAATTGTACATTGAGCTCCCGAAACAGCTCAAGCTTAGCAGATTGTGTTGTACGATCTAGTTTGCCTTTAACCAGTGGTTAACGTTTTTTTGCAGTTGCTTCAATTGTAACATTGACCGCAGACGTACTGTTATGACATCTTAATTTCAAGCAGGTGGCGTTCTGGGATTTAGTTCTTTTACAGAGTAACGTCAGTAGTTTTGGTGCAACAGTCTTGACTCCCAGATGGCGACTGAGTTTAGCCGGTTCCACCCTGAGTGACAAATGTTGACTGAATTGTATGGTTGACCTATTTGTTCGAAGCCGTGAACCAGGCCACCATTTAAACTTGCTCTTAGTTTAAACTTTTCAAATGATACCTATATGTGTATATTTTAAACAGTTGAAAATCTGAAATTCCTGGCGCTTGTATGTATCAATTCGCACTCAAATATTTTTTTGGGGGAAAAAAAGCTAAAAAAAAAAAAATATCCTGTATAAATTTAGAATTTAAGCTTAGTTTTATTATATGTACTTTTCAGTAAAACTTAAAAGAATACGTGACTATTGCTTGCACTCTGCAATAGTTTAAGGATTAAGATCACATAAGTCCTGACTGTACTTTACTGTATCCCAACATGAACTTGATAGACAATGCACTGAATTCTAAATCTACGTGTGCTATTAATTTTATAAACTAACATTCCACAATAGCAAATAAGCTGGTTTGGCAGAGATGGCAGAGTCCTCTAACGGGAAACTCCAGTGACTATAACCAAACAGACTAGCTGATGGAAACATACCTGTTCCCCTCACAAATCAACCGAACTGACACCTTGTCTAACAATTTACACACACAGCCGTAGCATTTCCACCGGTCTGATTTGACTCTTTAATTTACTTTGATGCAGAAATTGTTGCTACATTCGAGGTTGAACGGGCCTGTAATTTATCCGTTCTGGTGTTTCTTGAAACAGAAAGCACCCCTGCATTTTAGCTTTTTGTGGGCTGAAGTGAAATGAGGAAATGCAGTTGGGGGGAGGAAGTTAACTTGAGCAGCTGTGACACTAAAGGCCACTGCAAATTCCCATGCCTCACTGGTTTATGATTTATGGCTGCTCAGTGATTCCGGTTTCGGTGCTGGTAGTAAATTTCAACGAGAGGGTGGTACGATATTGACGCTCTAAACTTTCCTGCCAACATGGGTGGTTAAGTGAATGAGTAACAGGTAAGCTAATTATACATTCCTGCTTATGAGTGAGCCACAGCAAGGTGACCCACTTAGCTTGTGGTGGCAATAGAGGGTGAGGTATAGAAACCTGGCATATAAAGAGCTTTTTTTTTTTTGTTTTTGTTTTTTCTTTTGTTGACACAAAGATTATCCTGATGGGTGTCCAACTGTAGCAACTGATTCAGAGGTTTTTTTTTCATGAACGACCAGAATACCTGACAATCTGAGTAATGCCACCTCAACTCTTTTTGTATGACTCGCGCTTCAACACATGCGCAGGTCATTCCTGCTGGTGAGCTGGCTTTCATCTTGAATCTAATTGGCGCATGATGCACTGGCCAGTCTAGACGGAGCATTTTTTGAATTCACTCCCCGAGATCACACCTTTGCAGTCATATGGTCTCACACTGCAAGGTATATGCTTATAAATGGATGTGGTGAATGAGACTTTGAGCTGGAGGGAATCCCATGTCATGCGGCTTGTCATGAGAAGCCAAGTTCCCCCCACCCCCACACACACACTCGATTTTAATTTTCAGCTTTTCTTTTAAATGTGCTTAAAGTGTGATGTTCAAAATGTCCTGCTCTATGGGTAGGTTGAGACCTAGTCAAACTTGAATATCTCAGTTCTCAAATCTTCAGATGGGATTTCTTTGAGATGACATCTTTGTGTGTTTTCACAGCAGAAACTGTTTCTGTTTTAAATCCTCGCTGTTTCCACTGCAGGACCTGGGCCAAATAAATTTAGCCCGGTAAGGTGTTGGCACTTTGTGGATGTACCTCGACACAAATGTCAAGGTTTGGTTTATTTGAGAATGGATGTCAAACATTTCTTAGCATTTTGTTTCTATCATCTCCCACTTTAACTCTGTTGAAGATTCATCGTTTACTTGAAATTCAGATGGAACTGCTGTTTCTCAACCGTAGCATTAAAACTCAAACTGAAAATCAATGTTTTATTTTGCTTGGATTTAAATGGATGAATAAATAGAGGCTGACTAAGTGAACACGCCTCCTGGCAATGTGAAATCTAACTCAGTTCCTCAGCATTGAGTATTATTAACTAACTTCAGGCTGAAGGAAGTGAGGCGCATTGCAACATTTATTTGGTTAATTTATCTTTGGGACACAGAGTGCAAGATTTAGCTCCTAAAGGTCTGTGCATTTCCTGACTTTTTAGAGTGATTTTTAAATGTTTGAGTGTGTAACCTCTGTGATGCAAACATGTTATGACTTTACAATAAGGGGCCTCAATTTGTAGTGACTTTTCTAAAGTCTAAACACTGAGGCTAAATCATTGGTATGAGTATATTTTTATTTGATCAGTCTTTGATCAAGACTGATCAAAGTTCCAGGTTGCTTAACTTGAACCGCTGAAGTTATTTCTGGGGCTTCCAGGTAACTCAGCTGAATGTGCAGTGGTCTTATCTTATTGCCCACCCCCAAGGGGAGACTTGCTTTCACATAAAAGTAAACCAAAAAAAAATAAACCATGCTTTTAAATTAAGAGCAATTTTTATATAATCAATCTTTTAAACTGCTCAAGTTATAGGAAGAAAAAGCGGTCTCGTGTTTTATGCGTACTACGTTGCAGGAATAAAAGGGTAGTGTTTTATCTGTGTAGAAATGCACGGTGGTAGGAGGGGAAGTTCTCAGCCTTGGTTACCGTAACTGTGAAAGGCGAACCCCATGTACTGAAACACGATGCCAACTTATCAAAGCGGGTTACTGGGGGAGAACACCACCTGTGTTGTTGCCTGCTGGCTTTAAGCCCATCTAGCCACGGGGATCCTGTGAGTGTTGAAAGGTAGGGTGGAGAAGGCCTGCTCAATGTTGACTGGCTTTACATAGTTGTCTGAAATTGTACTTTTTTACAAAAAAAAAAAAAAAAAAAAAAAAAAACCCTAAAATAAAAAAATTTTGGCTTTTAGGGGTTTTTTTT